AATAACACACAAACTTAATTGGATATAGAAATCTGTCTTACCCTACAGGAAAGTAGGAGGGGAAGGGGGTAAGACAAGGAGTGGAGTGATAGAAGGGAGGGCAGATTAGGGGAAGGGGCAGTCAGAAGCAAAATACTTTTGAGGAGGGACAGGGTGGAAGAGAAAGAATAGAATAAATGGGGGGATAGGAGAAATAGGGTGAAGGGAAGTAAAGTTAGCAATGTAGCTATGTAAAGGTTTTTAAGCAAGTTTCTCTGATAAAGGCCTCATTTCTCATCCATGTAGAGAATTGAGTCAAATATGCAAAAGTAAGAGCCATTCCTCAATTAATAAATGATCAAAAGATAGAAACAGTTTTCAGAAGACGTAATCAAAGCTATCTATAGACATATGAAAAAATGCTCTAACTCACTATTGATTGGAGAAATGCAAATTAAAACAACTCTGAGGTGCCACCTCATACCTATTAGATTGGCTAATAGGACAGAAAAGGAAAATGACAAATGATGAAGGGGATGTGGAAAAAATGAGACATTAATACACCATTGGTGGAGTTGTGAACTGATTCAGCCATTCTGTAGAGCAATTTGGAACTATGCCCAAAGGTCTATAAAACCATGCATACCCTTTGACCCAGCAATACCACTACTAGGTCTGTATCCAAAAGAGATAAAAAACAAAAAAGTTAAGGACCTATGTACAAAAATATTTATGGCAGCTCTTTTCTGGTGGCCAAGAATTGGAAATTGAAAGGATGCCCATCAATGGGGAATGGCTGTATAAATTGTGGTATGTGATTATGATGGAATGCTATTGTGCTATAAGAAAGGATGAGCAGAATGCTCTCAGAAAAAGCTGGTAAGTCTTACATGAGCTGATGCAAAGTGAAATGTACCATGTACAAAGTAACAGCAATGTTGTAAGATGATCAGCTGTGAATGACTTAGCTATTCTCAGCAATACAATGATCCAAGACAACTCTGAAGGACTTAGGATGGATGAAAGGTGCTGTCCATCCCCACAAAAAGAATTGATGATTTCTGAATACAGATTGAAGCATGCTTTTTTAAACTTTATTTTCCTTGAGGTTTTTTTTGGGGGGGGGAGTCTATATTTTCTTTCACAACACGACTATTATGGAAATGTTTTGCCTGACTATATATGTATAAACTATATCAAATTGCTTGCCTTCTCAATGGGGTGGGAAGGGAGAAAGGGAGAGAATTTGGAAATCAAAGTTTTAAAGGTGAATGCTAAAAATTGTTTTTAAATGTAACTGGGCAAAATTAAATACTAAATTAATAAGTTCTCTAAAAAATATTGCGTGTCATAGAGTGTCACTCATGATGTTGAAATGTTCATTAATCTCACGTTATAAAATAGTTCATATCATGAAGTGGATGTTCAATACAAATGTATCAGCCATTACAGAAACAATTGGATAAGTCCTTGATACATATGAAGTCACAATTCCATTTAGAGTAATATTTGTAAGAACCATAAAACACTTAGAAATACAAGAGTAAAATAGGTTGACCCAGTAGGATAGAGTGGATTGCCTTTATGGGAAGCAAAAGCTGAATGACTTTTGGTGGGGGATGTTGTACCTTTTTTGGATGGTAGCCCTTTGGACAGTCTGGTGAAGCCGAGCCATGGTACAGGTATCCCAACCGCCCAATTCAGGGCTTTTTACCTATACTTTAGTGCCCCAGTAGGAGGGACTTGGCCACCTTTCATACAACCTAACTGGGAGGCCTGGCAGAGAGAAGGTAGCAGAGCAGGAAGAGCACTGGCCCCTGGAACTGGGTGAACTGTGTTCAAGTTAGACCCCTGGCCTTGACCTTGGGCAAACCACTCGACTTCCCTGCACCTCAGCTTAGATGCCTCCTCTGTTGAGTGATGGGCTTGTACTTGGTGGATTCCAAGGTCCTTTCCAAGCCCTGAATTCAAGATACCATTACTCCAAACGTGTATGTTGTGTCATTTAACATGGTTGTAGATGACATACCTAACACCCACCTCAAAGAAAAACATTTTATAGAGTCCTTATGGGCCTGTTTTTTCATGTTGATTTTAATTACCTATCTCAGGTTTTTCCTTAGCTAAAGTAATTTACCCCATAAGGTAATGAATTTTTGAAATTATATATATACACACATGTAATATGTATTATATGTGTGTGTGTGTGTGTGTGTGTGTGTGTGTGTGTGTATATATATATATATAAATAATATATATTTTTGTGCTTCGTGTGCTAGTTACTGCTGACCTGTACCGTTAACTATAACCAAAGCGGAAGTTTTTACTTGAAGTGAAAAAGGATTATCCTTTTCACAGTGATAAGAATCGTGTAACATCATGTTTGCTTGACCTTAAGACAATTCCTTAGCTGTCATACTACAGTAAATCTGGCAAATTAGCTGTTTCTGGATTAACTTCTCAGTACCTTGGTTGCTGTGAATAATTTCTGATATGAGAAGAGATAGTAGAGGCCATCCTCCCACATCTCCTCACTTAATCCTATAATATTTAACAGTGATTTCAGTATCTTTGGTACCACGGAATCTCTAGGTGGGAAGGGACATCAGAACCTCCTGCAAATATTCTGAGAACTGAACCTCACTTGGCTTGTCTCACCTCCCCATTATATTATCATTGAAATCCTTGAGATATCTGCCTCACAGTAGAATCACTGCATCAAAGGATACTGACGTTTCAGTTATAACTGCTCAAACAATAACTTTCCCATCTTTGCTTATTTGACCTTGCAGTAAAACCTCAATGATTTGGAACAGTCACATAGTTCACATAGCTTAGTTCTTCTTTTGAGAACTTTATCTGTCTCCTTCAAGCATTCCAGTACTGGGGAATGGATTCTGATTTTATTTATTTCTGTTAGTTACTTTTATTTCTTGGACATCAGAGCCTTAAGAAATTTGATTTAACGATTTTTCCCAGTTAACTGCTTCCTTTTTTTTGTCTTGGCTTATTTTTTTTTGTATGTGTGGAAAAAATTTTTCAACTTCATGTATTTGAAGTTTTTGGTAAGAATTCAACCCTTAGCTATACCTATGAAAGGTAATCTAATTCTACTCTAGTTTGTTTTTTTTTTCCATTGTGTGTTCTTTATGTTCAGTAGGAGGCAGCTAGGTGGTACAGTGGATAGTCTGGGTTTGGAATCAGGAAGACCTGACTTTAAATCTGGTCTCAGACATTTACTAACTATATGGCCCTAAACAAAAATCACTTAACTGCTGCCTGCCTCAGTTTCCTTATCTGCAAAATGGGTATAACACAGAACCTGCTTTGAAAAATTGTGAGGGTCAAATGAGATAATAATTGTAAACTACCTACCACAGTACTTAACACATTGTAGGCACTATAATGTAAATGGGGATAATCATACTCCACAATGTGTTGTACAAATAAAGCAGAAGCCCGCAGGGATTGGGGTGGAAGTTCAAGCAGGTGGGCTGTGCCTACAGCAGGAAATTTATAAATTTAAATTGGGAAATTAAGTTGCACCTTTTATTTCAATATAATTGGCTCCCTTAGTAAAGCTATGTATTTTGTTTTATGCATTTAGAAATATTATTCTGAGAAAGGGTCTATGGGCTTCACCAGACTGGGCCAGAGAGGTCCAGGACACATAAAAAGGGAAGAACTCCTGCCCTGCCCTGTGGTACACTCGACTTCCTGGTAGAAGATTTCTCTGGAACTTTGTTTGTGGGAGAGGTTCTCTCACCCTTTGTGTTCCTGAGCCTGCCTCGTTAGAGTTGAGCTTTTAGAATTGGATTGAAAAAATCCCACTTGATTTTCTCAAGGCCTTTCAAAGCTTATGAGTATGATTATTTTTTGTAACTGTGAAATGATAAAAGGAGGCTATATTTATTTGGAATGGAGCCATAGACTCTGAGCCAGTGACATTTTTATCTACCTTATAAAGAATAAAAAGACACTTGCCATTATTTGCCTGTTTTCCTGAAGAAAAAGTCATGTCCTTTAATGGATTATTAAGATTTTACATTAGGATCATAATTTAAGTGGTAAATCTAAAGTGTGTGTATCTTTTCAATGTGACTTGTTTGAACTTGCAAGACATTTTATAAAGTTTGACTCAGACCCATCGATAGACAGACTTGAGCCTGGAAATTTAGTTCATTGGAAAACACAGGAAATATAGGTCTCATTCCTTTATTCAAACTCAGTAAATGGTTTGGGACAATTAATTTCCAATTGTTTCCCAGTAGAGCAGATTTACTTGTATATTAATGAGGCACAGGTGTTAGGCCCCTGGTGCCTGCATGCCTGGGAGGCATATTTAGGTTGTTTATCTAGTCAGCCATAGGTACTGCAAGGTACTCAAGCTTGCCTTTAACAGTTTATACAGTGAGGGTTTTTAATTTTTTGATGTTTTTTTAAATTTGCTAGCACCTGTTAAAATTTTAAAACTGATCATGTAGAAAAAAGTAGAAGAGATTTCAATAGCAAAGAGCACTAAAAGTTAAAGAAAGTAGTCTTCTATTCTGGTTAACTGCCCATCTTGACATTAAGGGAAAGAAAGGTTCATTTAAGCTGATATGTCATGTGAAAAACCCATGCAGTCAACGGTGTACTTTTTGTTGCGTATTTCTGGAGCTGGTATGTCTTTGTCTATGGCTAAAACAGTAATATGTTTATATTAATATTCATTTTTCTTGTTTATTCACTGAACTGCAGCACCAACATTTTAGAGGAAATGGAGTAGCATCCATGGACATTATGAATTTCAGTGGCTGGCATAATTATAGCGATCTACATATTCATTAAATGCAGGAAAGAAATGTGTCCAAAAAGACAGCCATGCGTTCAGAAACATCACGCAACTGAATATGTGCCTGTTTAAAGTTTGGTGCTTTCTCCTTGTCAAAAAGTACTTGGTTTTCTCTGAACCAACACCCCTTCTAAAAGCTGTTAAGGTTTTTAAAAATTATTCCCCTGCCCTATTTTCTTTCATGTAGTAAAGAATGGGAAGAACTATTTGTAAACAACAATTACTTGGCAACTATACGGCTGAAGGGGATTAATGGGCAGCTGAGAAGCAGCAGGTTCCGCAGTGTTTGCTGGAAGGTAAGAAGAAAATATTTATTTACAGTTTGTGGTTGCAGTAGATCAACACATTACCTGATGCCCTGGGAAGATTACCGATGCAAAGAATCACTGAATTTTCCGAGAGACTTCCTCTCCAATTTTTGCCATCCATTTTGTCTTCCGTAGGACATTTGCTAATAAGAATGAGGGCACCCTAGTCTTCAGTAGCTGGCGATGGGAAAGGCTCATTCAAAATGAACATCTGTACTTGGGTTAGCATCTCATTTGATGGTGAAAATTATATCCTGACTGACACCTCTGCATTACCTACCACTTTTTTGCAGGAAAACTCTTACTTCCCCAAATTGTGTATAAATCTTTGACTTATATGTATCTACGTATCTATATAGACACACACCTCTGTTTGATTAATCTCAAACTTCAGGGCAAGTGCCATTTTTTTTTTTTAATTCTGTCTTATTTTCCTCATAAACACTAGCTGGAAAAGACTTCCAATTTGAATGACCAGAAGCACCAAGTCTCCTTTAGAGGAAAAGAACCATTGGTTACCATTTTTGTAGTGATAATCTGTAAACTTTTTTTGTTCTGGCCTTTAAATACTGTTCTTTTTTTCTTCTTCCAGAGGGAGCTGATTGTGATGAATGATTTCAAAAATGATTTCTAGCTCTAGTTTTAAAGTTTTTATCTGTATAGATTAAGCATATCAAGTTAAGTGAAAGTATAGACTGGGAGAATCACAAAATAAGTTATCCAGTTTGAGATTTAATAATTTATATTTAATAATTTAAATACATTTTTTTCTACTTGATGGAAGTAATAAAGAGAGAGATGCTGCCACAGTGCTGGAGCCCATTTGGGCCCATCCCTCTTTCCTGTTGTTTAACTTTTAGTAAAATCTTTCACTTGCTAAAAATAAACACAAAGCCAGATTTATCTTTATGTTAGGTTAAAATAAATCAAATCAAATTTGTCTTTTTTTGAATATTTGTTCTTTTTCCTAATTGATTGTTGATTATAAATTACATTTTTTGCTAAAGACGAAAAGATGTGTTTTAACAATTAGCTACTCTCTGCCCTATATTTTCTCTTTATCAGTTGCCTGTATGTTTCAAGAGAATAAAAACCATAACCAACACTTTGGCCATTTTAACTGCTTCTTTTCTGCTTTCCAGTAAACACAGAATGTGGTTGAACCTCAGTACCATTTTATTTTGGCTTGGACAAATCTGATTCGTTATATATCTTTTTCTTAACATGAGTCCTGAGGAAATGACCCCATTTAATGATCTGACTTTTTTGTTTATTTCATAACCTTCATTTGTGTTTTTTTTTTCATTTGTTATATTAATGTCTTTAAATGAAGATTAGTAGTAATTTTAAATAAATTATTTAATTACAGTAAGAGTACTGTATTGCTTTGATGATTTTATTTTTTACATTGTTTCATATTCTTTTTCTCCTTATAAGTAACAACTTCATTTCTTCTTCACAACAGCTTTTTCTGAATGTTCTTCCTCAAGATAAAGGTCAGTGGACAAGCCAAACCAAGGAACTGAGAGCCTGGTACAATAGCATCAAAGAAAGAGTAAGTAACATTTTAATAAATGTTCCTCAAATAAGCGCCAAGCTCTAGTTTTGATTTCTGTTTTATTTGCCCCCCTCAGCATATTACCAACCCTCGGAAAGCTGCAGGACAGCAAGATTTGATGATCAATAATCCTCTCTCACAGGATGAAGGGGTAAAAATTGTCTTTTAGTCATTTTTTTTTCCATAGGCAGCTTCACTGACTTAATAAATATGTTTAAAATACAAACCGTTAATACTGGTTTTTAGTTTGAAGCCCTTTATCTCCATACCAACTGTACCTAAGATACTACAAAGTATCTTAAGGCATCTCACCTAGTAATCAGTCACCTACAACATTTTGGAAGAAACCTTGATGTGATAGAGAAGGCCCAGGGAGCAAAGTGGGCAGGGGAGGGAAGAGGGAGGAAAGAAGCTGGTCCAGTTAGAGAGAACAATGGGGTTTTGCCCTTGGCCCCTCTGTACCTTCTTCCTGAGTTATGACAGATAGATAGTGAACCTCTTATCTGGTCTATGTAAATAGTGTCACAGGGGAGAAGGTGCTACAGGTCCTCTAACTCATGAGCTCTTTCCTGATGACCTCCAAAGACATGTCATTGGATTGATGTCAGGGATTGATGTCTGTGAACTTGTGTGGGGAAAAATGCATCTTTATTTCCACTAACCTCTAACTGAAATTTTGCTTGTCCTTCAGTTATTCATTTTTTTAATGTTATTCTGGGATGACACTTCACCATAGGCTTCACCAGACGCTAAACGGTCTGTAACAGAAAAAAAGTGAGGCATCCCTGCCTGCTCTGAATAATATTCTGGGAGGTAGCTTTGGCTTAGATAGCCAGAGAATTTGGTAGATATTTCCATCTTTTGTTGCCATGCAGCGCTCTTTCAAACTGCAAACTTTGCATTGACCCAGCTCTAATCAACCCATAGCACCTCCTCCCCATTCCTGCTTCCATATCAGGAGACTATGGAACTTCTCTCAAAGTTGGAGTGCTCAGAATGAACATCTCAAATGAGTTTTAAGGGAACAAACCAGAGGATTTTTTCTCTTTCTAGATATTAAATAGAAAGATACTTGTTATTTCTTGCAAAATCCTACATGTAGTTATTATGCCCTCATATATCAAGTTAGATTTGAATCTGAAGTGTTCTCCTGTGAGTCCCATGTACTCCCTTCACTTGCTCCTTAGCAATCCTAGCCTTTAGCAGTGACTAATAATAGTTGGATGCCTTTCTTTTTTGACTTCTCTGCTACTTACTAAGTTACTAAAGAACCTTGTTTTTACTACAAGAATTAGAGTATAAAATTAATGGAACTTTGCCAAAGTCTTTATGAAAATTAGCAAACAGTTGCTAATATATTCAGTGTGTATTTCATACTATATGGTATTCAAAGCTTTAATTATTTCTTCATTATTTTGTTAGTAGGTCAATAAACATTTATTAAGCACCTTCTGTGTGCCAGATATTGTGCTAAGTACTATAGTGCTAGAAATTATTTAATGACAAATATTTTTCACAATCAAATTTTTCAATAAGAATCCCTCAAATTACTAAGTCAAGCTTTCAATGAAAAAGTATCACATTGAGATTGTTAGATGGGAAAGCATCCCAAAAGTGCCTCATGGAGAATGCTAATCTTTACTCTTTGGGGCTGTCTTAATACCCAAGTCAGGCTTCTGCTCAAACTTCTTGCTACCCCAAATATTATGCTTACTCCAAGTAGTTGTTGCCTAGCTTCAAAGACTAGTTTCAGGCCTCCAACAAAATCCCCAGGCCAAGGATTCTAATTGACTATGGAAATGCCAACAGGTAGAGAGTGAAGGTTTTCCCTAGAATTGCTGAAGTGGACAATGGAATTAAAATGCTCCCTTTCTTCACAATATATCATGATTTGGACCATGTTTTCAGTATACAATCCAAACTGTCCTAATATTTCTCAAAATTGGGACAGCTTCTCCAATGGACAGGCAGAAGGAACCACTGTCATAATTAAGACTTGTGAACAAGCGGATAACCAGAGGGCACCCAGCTTGTCATACTGAAGCTTTAGACAGAGCCAAGAAACATTCTTAACTAATTGATAAAACTCCTTGAAATGCTCAGCTATTATTTCTTATAGATTAGGCAAGCCACCTTTTTATACATTTCACTACTATGAATTGGTGACAAATCATGCTTTTTAAAGACTATACAATAATGGCAGAAGGAAAGAGATTGTGTTAGAATAAGCATGCACTTAAGGGACTGAAGTAGACAAGAAATGTATGATGAGTCTCAAGTTCTCCATTTTCAAAGTAAAAAGGCTTAACAGAAAGATGATATAATTAATTTAACATTTATAAAAGTTATTTGAAATTATTTTTTGAAGTGGACACCAAATGAATACTGGTTTTTCAAGTGGTACATTTTTCTTCATTTTAGAGTCTTTGGAACAAATTTTTTCAGGATAAAGAGCTTCGAGCAATGATTGAACAGGATGTCAAAAGAACGTATGTATAAGAACCACTCAAACAATTCTTTTAAAAATTCATATTTACATCATTTCTAAAATTCTATAGTTTTTATTATTTGCCTTCTAACTTCTGCATAATAAAAAGACCAGAATAAAGAGAAACTCATATATGATTTGAAATATATTACATTGAAGCAGTACCTTACTCTTGTTAGTATTATTCTGTAGTAAAGAATTGGTATGGTTCACTGAAAATACATATTTTTTTAAAATGTGAAGCAAATGGTCTTTTATGACAGATTTCTTCTGATTAAACTGTTTTATTTATAATAATTTTAAAATATATTAAAATTTAGGAAGTTATAGAATTTAATTTAACGTAATTAAGAGCTAAGCATTCCCTTTTCATATCAATGTTATATAATCTGTTATGTTGTCATTGTGCTTGTTGGATTCTTATCAACATCTCTAACAGATGTGGTGCTCTGTGAATCCAGTATCCATGCCTTTTAAATCTATAAAAAGAACACACTGGGAAAACCTATTGACTGGGGGGAAGAGGAGGAGCCCAGGGCAAAGCCTCTGCTAGGAGGGGGGGTGGGTGACCAAAACTTGTGGGAACAACATCAACATGCTGGGAAAATGACCAAAGGAAGACTGATGCTAGGGAAGGAGTATCAGCGACTAAACATAAAAATCAATTAGGAGGATAAAAAGAGTGGAGGAAGTGGAATCCAGGCTTTCACCTCCACATCACCAGCCCACTGGTGTCCCTTCTAGGGTTCTGTTCCCTTGGCAGAACTAGTCATTCTCTCTCTTTCCCCAGGAAGCTTTTCCTGTCCTTCCAACTACCAGTCCCCTCCCTCTTAAGCTATCTTATGGTTGATTATGTTGGGTTTACTTCCCTTTATTCTCTTTTTGTTTTGTTTGTTCAGTGTATACTTACATGTGTGCTGACAGACTATCTCTGCCGTTAGGATGTAAAGCCCTTTGAGAGTAGCAGCAGTTTCGTTCTTTGTACTTTTATCCTCAGCCTCTAACACGCTCCTACCAGATACATGTCTCATGTTCTTCTTGGGTTATGTTGTCTTTCATGGTTTCTAGAGTTCGTTGGTGTTCCAGGTGCACTAAAATTCTGAATGTCAGTTAACTGTGGGATTTTCCACCTGCATACACCCCGTAGAATGTTATCTGTCTTTTTGTTCACAAGAAATTTCTGTTCACTAATACTTAACGTTTCTGAAGTACCTACTATATAGCAAACCCTAGGTATGCAAAGAAAACTAAGAAGAAGAAAAGAAAAAATAAAACCCAGTCCCTGCTCTTTAAGAGCTCATTGTCTAATGGGAAAGGCACAACATGCCAGGGAGGCCAGGAGGTGAAGATGAGGAGGGACTTATTGGATCTCAGTTTCTTCATTTGTAAAGTAGAGGGATTTGGAGTAGATGATCTTTGAGGTCACTTCCTGACCCAAAAGTCTGATTCTAAATTTGCCTGAGAGAAGAACGAACAGGACTAGTTTGGAGGACTAGTTTTTTTGTTTTTGTTTTTGTTTTTTTGTTCTTTTGGGTTTTGTTTTTTTTTGGGGGGGGGTTGATATGCTTATTAAAGATCTTAAGATAAAATCCATCTCCCTCCCAAATGTTACGCTTAAAAGTAGATTATTAATTACAGCATTGGCAACTTAATTAGACTTGTATCTATTAAAAAAATCTTTTTCTCTCAGCTTTTTTAGACCATTCTTTATGAGGTGTACGTTCATTTTGGAATAACCTTGACCTATTTCTTCATACAATAATTGTGCCGTTTGGTGTGTTATATTTAGCATGTACTTCCCATCTTTCTTACTCAATAGATAGCTGGGGGGCAGTGTAGTGCCCAGAGCTCTGGACCTGGAGTCAATAAGACTTGAATTCCAATTTGGCCTCAGATATTTACTAGTCGTGTGCTGCTGCCCAAGTGACTTCAACCCTGTTTGCCGTAGTTTTCACAACTGTAAAACAGGATTAATAACAGCATCTACTTCACAGGACTGTTGTGAGGTTCAAATGAGTTAATATTTGTAAAGCACTTAGCATGGTGCCTGGTGCATAGTCAGTGCTTAATAAATGCTTATTTTCTTTCATCTCCTCTTCCCTTCCCTTCAATAGTTCCTTCAGCCTCATTCTTACCTTGTTCTCATACCATTGTCTTTTTCAAACATTTGAAAGAACTAATGGGAATTTGTTTACTATTGCTATGAAGAATGAATTCCCTGAAGTAGTACATAGATGTATTTTAATTCACATTATTTGAAGTCAGAATTTTGTAAAATATGGTCATTGTTTCTAGCCCAATAGAAATGTGCTGTGTGAATTCAAATATGGGGACCATTTCCATGGATTCATTATTTGCACCAACCTGGACCCACCTCTCCTTGTTTTCCAAGTAATTTAAAGTATTATTAATACTTTATGTATTTATTATATAAATATATATATATATATAAATAATAAAATTTAATCTTGTTGATCCTCCCCCTTATTCCACGTAAGAAGGTGAGAAGATTAGTTTTGAGACTGTAGTGTGCATTATCAGGGAAGACTTTAATGTTGCTACACAGAAGCTGCCCTTTTAATTCAGTGGGACTATCCAGAAGTCTGTGATTCCTTGCCTTACTAAATTATATTCCTTTATTCCAGCCCAGTTTTCTTACAGAAGCAGTTACTGTGGAGCTATGTAAATAGTTGTTTTAGGTGATGTATTTGTAGAAGTGTTTATCAACATACAGTTCTCTAAAAACATGTCCTTATGGACCTATGCCACAAGCTCACCAGTAACATCCATGACATAGTGGAGAGGCTAGAAATTTCCAGAATGAATTTTAGAAACATCACACAGAAAAGCAGAACCAACAGACCCCTCAAACCCACCTTCTTTCAGTTCTGCCCAATGCAGGATCAGTATAAATATTGGTTTTGGACAGGATGAAGAGCTTTTTACGTACTTAAATAAAAAACAACTACTCTGTTTTTAACAAAGAAAATATTTGGCTCCTCTGCAGTTCCTACAGACCCAAGCAGTTCAGTACCTCAGTGGATATAGAACTCATTAATGGGGATATCTCCTCAGCACCTTATCCTGGGCAGTTTTTGTCCATGTCCTCTCACAGGTTCTATACTGAGTATCTCCGCAACTTGTTTAAGGCTTTCCTCTCGGTCCTTTTACCTTTCCCCGGTCTCTGTGGAGCACTGGAGCTACCGTCTTTGATTTACCCTTTACTCCCATGTCATGACTGACCCACCTCTTTTCTGATCATACATTTCCTCCATTATTTCCCTTGTGTCACTGTTGCACATAGAGCATCGTTGGAAATATGCTGGAGCTTCTGTGCACCAACTGGAGTCTTCTCTATTGCTTTTTGGATTGCCCACAACTTTGATTCTTAGATATTCCAAGATTCATAACCCTACAGAGTCACTAAGAGAACTCGTGTGTCTGTGTGTTATAAGATGGGTGGTTAGTATTTAGAACTGGGTTGAAATAGTTGAAAGCACTTTGCCATTTACTGATTGCAGCCCAGTCCACCCATCCTCCTGTTCAGCTGTTTGCCCAATTCATTGTATATTTGTAATGGTTCTTCCTTACCTTTTACTTTTCTGTAAAAGAGTGAGGTCATTGCCCTGTGAGCTTCCTCTTTTCTTCTTGTCTTCATTTGAAAACCCCCTCAGTTCACCCCTCTTCTCTTGTCCTTTATCTCAGTATCTAATAATAAGGTGGTGCTGGATCCAGAGTCAGGAAGACCAGCTCATTGATAGAAATACTGAGTAGCACAGTGTCAACCACAGATAGCTGGGTTATTCCACCAGAGGTCTGTCAGTTTGACACAGAACCCTTAACAGTTACTCTTGGCATACAGCAGCTTTGCCGGCTCTGAATGCTTTTGAGTTGTATTGCCTCTAGTCCTTATCTCTGCATCTTCTCCACAAGAATACTATGCGCCACCTTACAAAAACTTGATCAAAATCTGCATAAGCTACGTTCTCAGCATTCCTGTCATCTACTACTTTAGTAATCTCTTCAAAAAAAGGAAATAAGGTGAGTCTGCCGTGACCTGTTCTGGATGAAACCATGCTGGTTGTGTGGAATTGCAGCCTCCCTATCTGGATATAGGCCAACCAACTCTTCCATGAGCTAGTCCAGAAGTTCCCTGGAAAGTGAAGTCATCATGCTCATTGGCCTGTAGTTTTTAGGCTCTGGTTTTTTCTCTCTTGAAAATCAGGAGTTTTCCCTTCTCCGTCCTCCAAGTACCTCTCCCCTCTTCTGTAACGTTTCATGCGTCATTGTCAGTATCTCAGCAGCCACAGCTGCCATCCCTTGCAGGATATGAGGATCTGGTTTTGACCAGTTCGTCAGAACTCACTGAGAGCAGCTTCACTCTCTCCTCTCATCACATAACCGATCTTGAATATTCGTTCCCTGTTAGTCACTTTTATTCTCTAATGTCCAGTATAAAACTTTGTTTGTCTATGGAGAAAACAGAAACAAAACAAGAGTTTAGCAGCATCCCTGCCTTTCCAAGATCCCTGGCAAGTAACTAGCCCAGTAATCATAGCTTCCAGTTTTTAGCACAAAGTTCAGGTGCTCAGGTGATGTGAATTCCTCAAGAGCAGTTAGGTGTTCTGTTTTGTTATCAACTCTCTTAGACACATGTGCAGTCTTTGAAGAACCTTCTCCTAGGTAGAGAAAACAGAAGGAAACAGTTAATCAGTTGTCTGTTTTATTCTCCCCATCAACCCCAAGTATGGTCCTTTCTCTCCTCTCATTCTTTCCTTTTCTGAGTAGAGCTAACACATTCTCTTTCTTTGTCTTTAGATTCCTTGTCATTCTGGCCCTGTAAACACTACCCTTATGGGTCCCTGCTTCATGTTTGTATCTTTCCTCCATCCTGCTAACTGACTTCTAGCTTCTATACACGTCTTATCAAATTTCAAGTTGATTTATAAGCTCCCTGTGCATCCACATCAGTTTCTTTAGAAAACTTCCCCTTTCCTCTCC